AAAAAAAAAAAAAAGAAAAACCCAGTATGTAATATCATCAAGTTGGTCACTGCTGTGGGCAACTGAGCCTCAATCTCGTTGGGACCTGAGGAATCACAAAGAAAGAGGCTGAGAATTGTCTGCTCTAGGTGTGCTGGTGGACAGCAGTTACCTAACAGCTCCCATGTCCATTAGTCAAATGTTGCTGCAGGAACAACGGGAGTTTCTGCAGCCATCCCCACTGTAGAATCATGGGGTGTAGTTGAGGTGAGGCGTTATTTAGTTACACCTATGTATACATATGTGAAGTTGTTTGCTGCATTTAAGGGGTAAAATTAGAGTCGAGGATACATGTATGCACCCAAGGTGCCCCATGTGAGGGTAAAAAGTGAATTCATTTGGATATATTGAGCTCGAGATGCTTGTGAGATGACCAAGGATATGTACAAATGGAGAGTGGCGAGATTGAAGTTGAAAAGAGGGACCTCAGCTATGTAGATGATATCTGAAACCACGTGAGTGGAGAGAAATTGCTCAGGAAGAAGGGATACTATAGAAAGAGAAAAGGGTCTAGGACAAGTCCTTGAGGACTATCATGATTTAAATGGCATCAGAGGAGAATGAGGAGGAAATAGAAAGGTAAGAGAAATAGTAGGTGAGAACAGTGTCACAAAAGAGAAAAAAATGTTCAAGAAAGAGGGAATATGAGGGTGGGAGGGGAGACAGTTGAAACCTATCTTTATTTCAATTCTCGTAACACTCTCATCTTTCCTACTTACCCTTTACTGTTACCTCCGTCCTCTTCTTTCTTGATCCATTCAGTAGTCATTGACAATTCACTTTCTGAGGTATTAGCCTGTCTGCCTACCTATTCCCTGCTGCTTAAACTCCTTGAAACAACAAACTGCCCAAGTCATTCCCATGCTTCTATTAGTATTTCCTATTTTTCTGCATGTATCTCTTAAGTGTGCCCTTCTTTTGAATATTCATAGGGTTAACTTCTTTCTTTCAGATTCCTGCTTAAATGTCACTTCTAGATGACCACTTTTATAGGTCCCTCTAAGGAAGCTCCCACTCATTATTTCCTTCACTGTCCTCTTCACTTTCTCGTCTGTTTATTCTTTGTTGTCTGTCTAATAGACTATAAACATCACAGGGGCAGGGACTGTGGCTATCTTGTTCATTAGCATCCCAGTAGCTTATGGTGCCTAGCTCTTAAGGGCCACATTACATGATAAATATCTAATTCATGAATAACTGGAACTTACTTAGTGGGCTAAATCCCCACCTTCCACTTCTAATTTCTATCCTTGTCTTTTCCTCTGCCACTTTTCATGCTTTTCCAGTTATTTTTCTTTTAAGGAATTATCAATAAATGAGATAATAGTGTGTACTCATTTTTTTCTTTAACATATACAATGTTTTCTTTTTTAGCCAGTGATATTTATTTTCTATTTTTTTTTTTTTTTTAGAGACAGAATCTCACTTTGTCACCCTTGGTAGAGTACTGTGGTGTCACAGCTCACAGCAACTTCCAACTCCTGGGCTTAAGCGATTCTCTTGCCTCAGCCTCCCAAGTAGCTGGGACTACGGGAGCCCACCACAACACCCAGCTATTTTTGTTGTTGTTGTTGTTGCAGTTCGGCTGGGGCCGGGTTTGAACCCACCACCCTTGGTATATAGGGCCAGCACCCCACTAACTTGAGCCACAGGAGCTGCCCTATTTTCTATTTGTTTTAAACCAGAAGGCTGCAAGACAAAGCCAAGGCTCAATTCAAAGGCAGGATGTTTCTAAAAAAGTAAAGTCACAAAAGACATGAGTGGAAAAACTCAGAAAAGATGGTCGTCTGGATCCTGCACTTGGATCTGAAAAACCTGAGGGTAGAAAGAAGGAGAATCCTTCAGGGGGAACTCTGAAGAAATCTTCCCCTAAGGAGAAATACTCAAATCAAGGATCCATTCCTGCCAAGAAAACTGATAGTAAGGGGAGAAACTTTGAGTGGGAAGACCTGATATAACCACATATCCATTAGCTGCCCTCAGAGGACTCACACAGGAGAGAAGCCTTATAACTGTCAAGAATGTAGGAAAGCCTTCAGCTATAAGAGTAGTCTTCAGAAATACCTGATGTCCTGCACTGGTGAGAGCCCTTTTGAATGCAGTGACCAATTGCAGTTTCTATGACCAATTAACCTTTGCTGACCATCAGTGAACCCATACTGGAGAGAAGCCCTTTCAGTGTAGTGAATATGGCAAGGCCATTTTGTCCCCTCATTGTTTACACAACATCAGAGAATTCATACTGGAGAAAGTCCTTATGAATGTACAGAATGTGGGAAATCCTTTAACCAAAAAGTTATTTTTGCTCACCATTAGCTCACTAACTCTGGAGAGCAGCTCTAGGAATGCAAGGGGTATGGCAAAGTTCTGTTCCATTGTTCACCCCTCATTTGCCACAGGAGAGCATGTACTAGAGAGACTTCTTTTGAATATAATGAA